ATCTATCTATCTATCTATCTATCTATCTATCTATCTATCTATCTATCATCTATCTATCTATCATCTATCTATCTATCATCTATCTATCTATCTATCTATCTTTCTATCTATCTATCTATCTATCTATCTATCTATCTATCTATCTATCTATCTCTATATCTATCCATCAAACAGAACAGGATGGAATCAAAGATCTTGATCACTCACCTGCTTTCATTTCAGACATTTAACCTGAAATCTTCTCATCTGAGAAGTGCTGAAGCCATTTTGGTCAAACCTCATCAATGACCTCATGTCTTGGAGTATTTACATTTTAGAACACCCGCAACCCGCTTCTTCCTTTTCGGGTTGCGGGGTCACTGGTTCCCATATCGAGCAGTCACTGTGGGAGAGGTGGGGGACACCCTGGACAGGTCTCCAGTCCATCACAGGGACACACGAGACAAACAACTATTCTCTCTCTCACTCACACCTAGGGACAATTTAGAGTTAACAATCAGCCTAACGTGCATGTTTTTGGTTTGTGGGAGGAAACTGGAGTACCCGGAGAAAACCCACGCATGCACGGAGAGAACATGCAAACTCCACCCAAAAAGGTCTCGGACCAGGATTTGAACCAGCGACCTTTTAAGCGAGACGCAACAGCTCTACCAACTGTGCCACCGTGCTGTCCTCATTTTAGAACAATGTATACAACTTTGACTGACTAAGAGGGATTTCTAATATTAGATATCTTTGGTGGCCATCTTGAATTAGGTTGACTCTAAACTGTTAAAACCAGATTGAAACTTTTCAAAAATGTTGTAAGCGTTTATAAATAATGACAGCTGCATAAATACTGTTCATGAATTTTTTTTATGTACTTTGTAAAAAAAAAGGACGTTTTGAAATCCAGGAACATGGAAATGTCTGGACTCTTTTTCTAATTTTTTAATTTGACTCATTGCAAGGTGTCCACGTATAACTTCATGAGCCTTCCACCACCGTGCTCAACCCTTGATCTGAGGTGTTTGCACTCATGTGCTCAGTCTTTGTTTCTCCAAACATACTGCTGTGAATTATGGCCAAAGATCCCCACGTTGGTCTATTCTGTGTAAAAGACACTGTTTTAGGAGTCTTTAAATATGTTTCAAAACTGTTTTAGAAGAACGAGCCATAGTTGTTTCGTTCTTATTAAACTATACAGTCATAAACGTCAATGTGCTAACTGAGACCTAAAGCTGGTGGTATTTTGTGATTTCTGTAAATACTGCAGTCTAACTTTACTAAGACTTTAAATTCTGTGTGTGTTTTACTTTGTGACATTTTTACACAACTGAGAAATGCATTGGATCTGGTACTAAACAGAGCAAAGACTTGATTAGCATCATGCTTTTTAAAACTGCACCTTTGTTCTGATGTTTGTGATTTAGTGGCTAAAGGTCGGTCCATCAAGTGTCTATCTTAGGTGCACGTCAGAGTGGGTACAGTCTTTCCTGAAGCTGGCACCTGCTCTAAAAGACTGTTTCTGTTGGTTTGGTTCATGTCTTTGTCTCCCTCCCTCCTAGTCACCAGAAGAGGGTGCAGTCAGCACCATCTACTGTGCAGTGTCAGAAGAACTTGAAGGAGTGACTGGCAAGTACTTTGACAGCGACTGCTCTCTGGTTCTTCCATCCCCTTTAGCTCGAGACACCGCCCTCGCCGTCAAGGACTTTGAAATATGTGAGAGGCTGACGTCAAAGCTCTGAAACACCTGGACTGGAACAACCTCATCAACTGTGAAGATGTTTTGTCATCCATAACTTTCTGCCCTGCCGTGTTTTCTTCTCCTTGTGCATTTAACGTGTGCATATTTCATAAAAGTTTATTTGATTATCACCACTTGACATATTAGGAATTTTATAAATAAAACTGTTTCCTCAAACCGTTGACACATTTTTTTTCCATTTGATCCAAATTACAACAACAAAGTTGTGAATAAAAACAGAATCCAATGATCTGCAAACAGCATAAACCCACATTATATTCACATGGAGCACGGTAATTACAATATATCAAAAGCTTTAACTAAGAAATAGAAGGTGGTATGGTTTTTTTGAGTTTCCTGGTAAAGAGACTATACTAATATAGCGCCTTTCTGTTGTATCCAGATACTCAAAGCTCTTTACAACACAATCTGTCCTCGTTTACCCATTCACACAGCACTCTACTATTTCTGTACAAAGACAAATCAGTGCTTTTAGGTCACATTCATACAAAGATGGGACACATCAGAGGCAATGAGGGGTTCAGTGTCTTGCCCATGGACACTTCAGCATGTGACTGCTGGTGGAATTGAACCCCCAACTCTCTGATTGGAGGACGACTGCTCTAACCACTCAGCCACAGCTGTCCATGTCAGCAGTACATCTCAGAATAGTTAGGACAGGACCGTGAAAGACTAGAAAAGTGGTAGAAATGAGAAACAGCTGGAAGAGCATTACACAAGAAGAGGACCGGGAATAAAAAGAGCATTTTAGAGAAGCTGAATCTCTCATAAGTAAAGATGTGCAGAGGTTCACCAGTCAGAGGAAAATGGGTAAAAAATAGTGAAACAGCTTCAAAATAATGTTCCTCAACAGAAAATTGAGAAGACGGAATGTCACACACTCCATCCATCCATCCATCCATCCTTTTTACCTGCTTCATCCTTCTTGGGTTGCTGGAGCCACTGGTGCCCATGTCCAGTAGTCACTGTGCAAGAGGTGGGGGACACCCTGGAAGGTCTCCAGTCCAACACAGGGACACGTAGGGACAAATGAGACTAACAACCATTCACTCTCTCACTCACACCTAGAGACAATTTAGAGTTGCCAATCAGCCTAACATGCATGTTTTTGATCTGTGGGAGGAAACCGGAGCACCCGGAGAAAACGTTGGTTACGTACTGTAACCCCAGATTCCATGAGTACAGGCGCAGCCCTTTAAGGCTATCGCTAGTGGGTTTGTCTCTTCGCGTGCAGCACTGAAAACTTTAGTCCACGCCCACCTGCTGTGTGGGCCTCACCCCCGGTCCGTTATTAAATTATGACACGATAAACCACCATAAAAAAATGTAAGGATAAATCTCTGAGCTCAAAGGACAAAACTGAAAGTCTATATTAGATGACGTTCAGGACTTCAGGGGCCACTGCATTAAAACAGGTCTGAAAATCACTGCATGGGCCCAGGAACATTTCCACAAGTCTGTAAACACAGTTTGCTGTAGCATCACAAATGCTGGTTAAAGTGACATCATACAAAGAAGAAGCCATATTTGAACACCATCCAGAAACACTGCTGAGCCAAAACGTACTGATCTGAGACAAAGTGAAGAACTGTTCTGTGGTCAGACTAATCACGATGTGAAATTCTTTGTGGAAACCACGGACGCCACGTCCTCATCCTCAACAGAAGAGGAACCATCCTGCCTGTTATCAGTACACAGTTCACGTGTTTGCCTCTCTAATTCTATGGGGGTGCATTAATGGCTATAACATGGGCAGATTACAAATCTGGTAAGGCACTATCAATACAGACTAGGCTTTTTTCATAAAAGCCCTTGCATTTTTCAGCACGACAACATTAAAGCAGACTGTAGAACAGCTAAAATCCTACATCAGACAAGAATGTAACATTCTCCTCCCAAAACTCCAGCTGGTCTCCTACTTCTTAGATGTTTTCAGACTGTTCTTAAAAGAACAGAATAGTAAACATAGTCCTGCCCTTCTTTTTAAAGATTTTTTTGCTGTTATCAATTTTAAAATCATATTTTTTTCTGAACAAGGTACATATTTTAAACATAATTCAGCATTTTAAAAATCTCATGAACCCACATTTTATGAAATTAGCAACTCATTGAATTATTATTTTTTTATTTACATCTTGCACAACATCCCAACACTGTTGGAAGTAGGTTTGTATTTTAAGTCACTCTCACGTCAGAGCACTCCTGGAAGTAATTATGGACAACCTATTCATCACTGGGTTGTAACATTTAAACACTTCCTATGGGAGAAACTCACACGAGAAGCTCCAAAGAATGATAAAGTCACTTCCTTTTATTAGATGATTTATTTAAACACAACGAAACAGAGAAGCATCCAGTGCTTTTTCCCCCCTGAAGAATATACAGAGCGTCCATCCTCTTTGTGCCCCCGGTCCTGTTATCTGGCTGCAGAGATACAGACAACAATTACAAAAAAAAATTAATTAATCCACGCAAACGTGTATTTTTTTTTATTGTAGTTTGTCACAGGGTGATGTCTTGTACCCACCTTTCTGGTGCTGCTCCACTATGTCGTGGATGATCTGGTTGAGCAACGGATCCATGTGATCCAGCTGTTTGGTTGAACGACGGATGTCAAGCTTCAGTGGGTTTTCCTGGACACACACACACACAAGCAAAACAAGCAGAGTGACCCATGTTCATTGTCTGGCTGAGTGGTATAGATCAGGGCTATTCAACTGGAGGCCCACAGGCCATTTTTGGCATGTGGGTGACTTCAATCTGGCCCACTTTGTATTTTTATTTTTTTGGTTCTGGGTTTATTGCATTTATGATTCAATGCAATAAAGTAAACACATTTAAAAGGTAACAGAGCATTGTAAACTTTGGTTTATGATTTTAATCATTGGCTTTCAGAAACTGTGGCCCCCTGAGCAGTGTAGTTGAATAGCCCTGGTGTAGATATAGTGGAGTTGGTGCTGGGGGTGTGCACACACAGGATTCCCATCTCGTTCCATCCGAGGAGCCTGCTGAATGGTGACTTCTTCAAACTGACCGTCCTCCGATCGAGGCTCCGTGTCTTTCTTACCTTCTCGCTCCTAAACAAGCGCAGGAGAAGCACAGTCCTACTGTTAGTGTCTTTTATTTCTGTTTACAAAGAACTAAAAATTAATGGGCACATTCTTGTTTTATGTATAAACTCTCAACTTTGTTTCTTAAAATGATTTTAAAAATAGGGGATGAAACTATGAAATGAGACACAATAATCACCCGTCACTTAAGGCAAAGGGGTGATAATGTTTTTAATGTGCGTGCATGTGTGTATGTTAGCGAAATCATTTTATACACATCTACAACTAACTTGTAGAATCAATTCCATTCAAGATGGCCGCTGCAGCTAAGCAACCTTGATGCAAACAAAAACAGCTGTGACAGTCATGTTTATTGATGTGGTAGCAGCTGAGACTTATTACTCCCAACTTATAGATCTGTTCAGAACTTTGCCCTTAACTGGAGTCAACTCTGTTTGCCTGTTAGCAAAATATCTCTTGATCCACAGGAAAAACTTTATTTAAACACCCAGAAAGCAATCAGTAGATGTAAATCTAGAACTGGTTTACGTTCCAACCCATTTCCAAACCGATAGTTTCAAATACTCTGAATCTAACATTTTATCTTATCAAAAGCTGCGTACCTTCATCAGCAGTATCTCCTTTGGGCTGAAGAACGTGATGTGACCCTCTGTCCTCTCAACCAGGAGCACCGCCAGGCATGCCAGCACCACGCAACCCACCACAGCTCCACGCATGCTCATCCTGCTCTCACCTGCACACACACATATCAAATAGTGTTGCTGCACATCAGCACGCAGTCCGTTCAGAAGCACGAAACACTCTGTGCCCCGAGTGTATGAGGTTCCATTAGTGCCAAAAATATGTTTATGTGTCTATGTAAAGTGTGTATGTAGCGTGCTATGTATATGTTAAGTGATATGTTTATGTTAGGTGCATATGTAAAGTAACATATCACTTAACATATGCACCTAATATAATACTTAACATATACACAGCATGCTACATACACACTTTACATAGACACATAAACACATTTGTGGCACTAATGGGACCTCATATGGGTGGCCCTGAAACCAGGTCCCGCACACATATACGTGTTGTTTCAGGAAGAGACGTGACGGTGGAAACAGGTCAGCATGTGACAGAAGGAGCAAGGGGGAACTGACTGATAAAAGCTGAGAGAAGGACGTAAGGTTCCCGTGTTTGTCCAAGGGAGAAGCTGACCGACAGATAAAGGAGATAAGGAGGGAAAAGGCTCAGAGGAGATAAGTAACAAGAAGCCATACTTACCAAAGGACCAAAGATCTGTTCTGAACATACAGGGGGTGACCAGTTGATGTCAAAAACAGAAGTGAGGCAATAGAGTGAAGGACAGCCTGGGGAAACAGAGAGGCAGAGGAAGCCACTCACGTGCTGTGTCAGCCTCGGTCAGTTTCTCAGGGAGGTGTTGTTTCAGATGAGCAGGGATCCTAAGTGTCAGCTTGTCCCCGCTCCGCCTTTATATCAGGCCTTCGCCCGTTCCCTCGACTCGTCCTCCCTCACATCCGCTCCTTGAGAGGCTCCTTCAAGAACTCTCCTCCATGGAAACACAGATGTTCCTCTGAAATCTGCCTGGTTTTGTTTGTTTGTTGGGTTAATGGCCTCATCGTGCTGCACGTATGGATACATTTCAGAGAAACTGACACATTGATGGGTTTGTGTAAAGTACGTCTTCTGTAAGGTTGCATTCTGCCATATTTGTCCTTATTGTAAAGAAACTAGTATCTCTGATGACAGATCCTGGGGTTAGCAAAAATATGAAGCGATGTTAAAGTGTTAAACCAACATTATCTCATGATTTAACAAGATGGAGTTGCAGCTGTTTTGGTCAAACCTAAATAAAGTTAGGTGATATTGGAAGAACCTGTGAGACGTGTTAGTGCTCATAATACGTGCCAACTATTACAGCGTAAAACTGAAGCTCCCCGTCTTTAAAGGCTAAGGCCATTTTTGTGACCATCTTGAATTTGGTTGAATCCAAAACGTAACCAGCTGTAGATGAAGAACCAGTACTTTCTGAGAATTTCATATACGTAAACCAGTTCAGTGGTTCACATGATATTTTGCTAACAGACAGTCAACTCCATTAGGTAATCTAAAAAAGTTAAGTCTGGTCCTTAGGAAATCCAAAAAAACAAACAAACAAACAAAAAGTAGAATTAAAAAAACTAATCAAAA